ACACAACCGTGAGAAACCAACCGTGAGAAACCAACCGTGAGAACACAACCGTGAGAACACAACCGTGAGAACACAAGCGCGAGAACACTACCTTGAGAACACTACCTGGAGCACTACCGTGCGGACACTACCGTGAGAACACTACCGTGAGAACACTACCGTGAGAACACAACCGTGAGAACACAAGCGCGAGAACACTACCTGTCTCTTATACACATCTAGATGTGTATAAGAGACAGGAACACTACCGTGAGAACACTACCGGTAGAACACTACCGGTAGAACACTCCTGTGAGAACACTACCGTGAGAACACTACCAAGAGTATGTCTTAACATAATTGTCAAATGAACTACTCATGGCAAGCAGTTTATTCGTAACATTGCTCGTCAATTGGTATGATGCCTGATTTGCATGACGATACTCGAAATATTTCCGCTCATAAATGCACTCTAATTTTTAGCTGCCTTTATCATAGCCTGCTTCCGAATCTCTATTCGAGATAAATATTCATTTGGAAAAACACTCTCTCTCTGTTAATGATAACATTTGGTTGTTGGAAATATCCATAAAAATATCCTCACTAAGAATTTAAAAGCAAAGAAAAGTCCATAAAAATTCATATCTTTATAGAAAATGTTTCGGAGAACAGCTCCATCGTTAGTTCGTAGAATCTAATCGTTTTCTATAAAGATATGAATTTTTTTGGACATTTATTTGCTTTTAAATTCTTAGTTAATTTGCGATTTAAGCAAACAAGTGATATAAATTCAATAATACAAGCAAAATATTCTCACTATATGATTGGCGTGAAAATCTTCCTCGCATTTTTGTAAAGAATTTACGAACAGGTACACTTCACATGTAGGAAAAATCAAACTGAATTAATTTCTCCGCATATTCCAAATAAATTTCGAATAAACTTTACTTTTTGATGAAAAATATTATATAAAAAATATATTTTAAAATTCTTCCAAGTTTACCTTACTTGAAATGTATGAACTTTTAACTCATGACTGTAACTGTTCCACAAAATGGGTTTACTTTATATTGGAGTTGAAGTAGCTTATCTATCTATCTCTAGCCATTTTCTCACAATGAAGGTTCCCTTGCATTTTTAGCAGCTCTTTGATGCGTTTGCTTAATCTCAATAAACTTTATTTAAATTGTTATTGCAGCCTCCTGATAAACACTGGCGAGGCAAAAATATCTAGAGTTTTTATTCCGTTTTATTTTTTATTCATTTACCGTTCATTTGGGAGAAGATTTAAGAGAAATTCGAGTTTTATATGAGCGGCGTTGCATAATTCAAATTAACAGTTAACCTAGCCTTGCTGAGGAGGTTCCGTGTTGAGTATAAGACTGAATGACCGGGTTTATCAGGTTAACTAGCATGACTATTTAACCTTGCGTGCCTGGTTAAACTGGCGGGGCAATTTTTCCCGAGTTAAGCGGACTCTGAGGATATAATTCTGGTAATATTGGTAAGCTAAAACTAGGCTCTACACAATTACTTTGATGAGAGCTTTTTACAAGCGTTTATTTTGGGCGTTTATTTTTTGTTTGGCGTTTATTTTTTTCAGCACAAATTTTTGTACCTTGTTGGTCATAATACGTATAACTGTAACTTTATTCAGAACTAAAAATCCAAATAGGTCGTCAAACGAAACTTTTTTCAGTTATTTGTTATTATTATTTTCAACTGTGCAACGACTAAGAAACATTTACTATGGAATGTGACTCTCAGAGATTCTAATGAAGTGGGAAGACATTTACGGTAACAATCAACTCAAAACACAAGCTGACTCACACTCGCATACTAGAATATATGTTGTGTAGTCTCGTTGTTTAACACAAATACAAATATAGACTAGTTCTTATCAAGAATTTTCCATATATTTTTCATTTAATCCTGAGAATTACCAGCCGCTCGTTGAATTAAGCAGATGATCTCGCGAAATTTCTTCTTCAACTCGTAATAAAATCTGCGTCTTCCTCTTGGCTCGTATGTCTCGGGGAACTTCGCTAACTTATTCCCTGTCTTGCAAAGTCTAGTGGACAGCGGTCTCTTTCCTGCCGTGGCTAACTTTATTCTCCTGAAGCTCCTTACATTGAAGAATTTTTTATGCAAAGTGGAAATTTAAAAAAAATTCAAGGAATCTTGAGAAACCCCGGAAAAAATCCCATTGAAGACCTTGCCACAAAATAGTTTTTGGTGATTAATCATGCTTTTGATTACAACGATTTTATTTTGAAAATGATGGATTAGTGTTGTGCTCAATTGCAGCTTGTAAATTGTGAAGCATTTGTTAATCATTATTGCTACGATTAAACATTGTGACGTTGTAAATTTGGACATCGATGTCTAATTTGTAAATTTTGAACTTTTACAATTTGTAAATTTGAGCATCGATGTGTTATGGATTATTTTTTTCAAAATTATCATTCTTAATTCCAACGCACAAGACATAATTTTAAAACATAAGACAACATTTTTGACTTGAAGAATTATCAAGACTTTTAAGCACTGTAAAATGAATTTATTATGACAACCGAACTTTTTAAGATGTGTGACAAAATTCTAACCTACGTTTTTTGACTTGTGTTGCCATACATTGTGTTGTGTTGTTGCTCAAATTTGTTGGCTGTCAGTAATTCCAGGGAGAATTCCAACCAAAACTATCCATTGATTTTGATTAATTAAAAAGTCACTTCGACTGGTAACTTTTTATATTTCTGGTTACAATTATCGACGACCCAGATTCTGCATAATCTACTAATTATTTGCTGGCCATCTTGGTGCCTGGCCGTTGGTTATTATTAATATTAAATGAATTTGGGCAATCATTTAATATGTACTTGGCTGACTTCTGATTAATGTGAGAGGAGTTTTTCCACAAACGTTTCACTGCTTGTCGCTATTCTTATCAGGAATCAGGTCGAGGGAGCGTTGATGAGGTTGGGTCGTTGAGCTCGCAGTTTGTTATCTCGTATTGCAGCGTTTGCTTATTTATCTCCTATAGTTATTAACTTATGCTGCTTGTTCGCCACAATTGGTTGGTTGTTAGTGATGCTGTTTAGCAACGTCTTATTATTCGAGTTGGACGATTGCCTCAGGTAGCTACTGGCTGGTTTATTTTTTTTCACCATCGGTAATTTTAATACAATTATTTTGAGTATTTGATTAATTACTTAATTAAAATTGAGTAATTGATTTCAGTAACTACCGTAACCACTATTTTTCATGCCTGCGTTCCAAACAACTAGGATTTCTTTGAACGAAGTTCTATAAGTACTTTAACCATGATTTTTGGAAAATTCGAAAGTATTGCTTATTCCCAGAAATAAATGTTGCCACGTATAAATTAATATTTTTTTAAATTTGGTGTCTTAAATATACTACGAGAAAACTCTTTTTCAACTCTTTATTTATTTGAAAGTTTTGCCACCGTCTGCTAGTTTTGGAAACTTATTTACACCAAACTTTCATAAGAATTAAAAGCAAAAGAAGCAACAGCTGGCATAAATCTGTTAGAGTTATCAGCCAGGTGGTGCTAGCTCGGCAATTACACGTAACGGGATCGCGTGATCTTGATAGAGTGAAGCTGTTGCCGCACCGAGCGTGTAATTCATAGCGACTCAAGCTCTTCTATTCTTTGACAAGCGCGCGTCTCACCCGTGCACGCCTGTAGCTGCGCGCGCATGGCGCTGCTTCTCGTAGCATGCTTAGCGCTGCTTCTCGTAGCGCATGCTTAGCGCTGCTTCTCGTAGCGCATGCTTAGCGCTGCTTCTCGTAGCATGCTTAGCGCTGCTTCTCGTAGCATGCTTAGCGCTGTAGCATACGCTAACGCTGCCTCTCGTAGCATACGCTAACGCTGCCTCTCGTAGCATACGCTAACGCTGCCTCTCGTAGCATACGCTAACGCTGCCTTTTACGCTGCTTCACTCGACTTTGCGAGTATCGACGAGCGTATCAACATCAAAGCTTTCTATTACGCAATCACTTTATTGTATGAAGCGCCAGCCCACGCAGGCATTGTCAGAATTTATTTGTATCAACAATATCTGAATTTACGTGTTGGGCAATTTTCCTGACGATTTTGAATTCCACTAAATATATTAGAAAATTTTAAGGTCAGAACTAAGTAAACTGCTCGGCTGGAAGACCGAAGTATGCTCGAACTATCGCATTGTGAAATGTTATCTTACTCGTACGTTTTAATAAACCTCGTGCAGAAGTTTGTTTGATTGGCAGTCACGTCTAGCTTAAAAAACAATTTTTATAATTTTATAGTTTGAAGGAAAATGTTTGATAAATTTTAAACATATGATTAATTATTGAAGTAGATTAGCTGAAGTTTATCTGTTGCCATGCTGCCATGCTGTGGAAGAATCTTAACGTAGTTAAGTTGCCTATATAATGAATAGTTACGAACATTTTCTTGAGAAATGTCGACTTCAATAAGAATTGCAAGACGACTGCTGCTTAAAACTTTTTGGAGTGTTGAGTTTTAAAGTTAAGTTATTCTGAATTATCATCAACCTCACTGCTCGGAATATCAGTATATTATAAGTTATCTAGGAGTATCAATGCCCTGTTTAAATGTTTCGAATTTCTTACCGCAGTTGTTGATTTATTCGAAGGAAAAGCAACAACGGCTGCTGATAAATATAGGAAAATTTAGAGATGGTCGTGGAATCTATTATGATCAATCATTCAATTATCCACTAGCCCGTAATTGTTTGCACAGCCTCTCAGACACGCTTATGATTCTATTCATAAATTTGTACTAAATGGATAGCTTGTTAATAAAATTGTTCTCGACGTCTATGGCCATTTTGGAAGTTATTTTAGTGGAGAATTGTTTATGGAAATTATGTCAATCTAGAACGATTAATAAATCTGCATTGCTAAACTGCATTGAGCTATGTTACAAATACTCTTCAATTGGCTAAACAAACATTTAATCATAAATATTATTTTAACCAACTATTCAACAGATAATAGTGACGTTTTCCTGTTGTTTGGGCCCACTCGCCTGTGGATTCGCAATGGCCTACATCTTCGCAATTCATCCCGGGATTATCCTCGGCATCGACATCGGAGTTTGGCGCACCTACACTTACCTCTTGGGTGGGTCTTAAACTTGTTGGGTTATATTGCATGGAACCTCGGTATATTGGGCAAAGTTTACAGTGGGTCGAAATATTAAATTACGTCTAAGTACACGAACCGGCGATTCCTTTTCCGGTCGGATACAGGCGATTCCTGTACCGGCCGGATACCGGCGATTCCTGTACCGGCCGGATACTGGCCGATTCCTGTACCGGCCGGATACCGGTGATTCCTGTACCGGCCGGATACTGGACGATTCACGTAACGGCCGGATTACGGTACGGTCTCCGGATGACAATAACCCAATAGCTCTGAACTTGTTTTCAGGATTTTTTTCATTGGCAGGTTGCATTGGAGGAGGATTGTTCTCAGGACTCTTGGTGAACATGGGCAGGAAGATGACGATGCTGTTCACCATGACGCCCTTCGCCTTATCCTGGCTTGCCGTCATCTTTGCCACTGACGTGAGTCCACTGCCACTGACACTAAAACATTTGCCTTTCACTAACTGACTTCAACTAAACTTAGCCACTGACGTGAGTCCACTGCGCCACTGACACAACAACACTTCCCTTTAACTTATTGACTTCAACGGCACTTTTTCGCCTCTGACGTGTTGTTCTCCTATGAAACTTGTTTCCATCACAGTTAATTAATTGCTCGAAAATAGAATTGTCATTGGGAGTGCTATGTCACTTATTTCATTAGCCAGCTACTCTAACTCATGCTTTCAAATTCTTTCCATACCTTAATGTTGCATGTTCCAAAGCATAGTTTCTCTGTATTTTTTTGTGTTGGCACTAATATTCAATGTTTTAATTTGACATCATAGAATTTCATTCTCAGGCTGGAAGATAAACTCGTATTTGTTTAGATTCAGCTCGATATCTCGATAATGTCGAGTGTGTTCAGCTGCAGCTCAATTTTTCGAAAATGTCGAGTTTATTCAGGTGCAGCTCGGTAGCTCAATAAATAAGCTCGCAGTAAATATCATAAGGGGCTTTGGAACGCCGATTGCGCACTCCTGAGTGTACCTTCTGAGTCGATGAGATAGACGCGAGATTCTTGACTTGAGCTCGGATATTTTCTGACATTGAGCAAACAGGAAGCTCAGGTTTATTTTGGCATGTGTATTCTTTTTTTTTAGTTAGTTTATGGTTCAATTTTTACCCATAAATGACTGTTATTTTGACACGGCTGTACCTACTTTTCATTTTATGAATTATTGCAGGACTTTTAGTATATTCTGTTATTCATTCATAACTCAATGAGCTCATAAAATAATTCTGAACGTTGATTTTTTAACTATATGGAAAGTGAATTGAGAATTGGTTTGATAAATCATCAAGAATGGATAATATTGAGCTAGTACGTTGAGCGCCCCTGCAGTATTCTGCGCACATCACTTAGCACGTGTTCAATTGCATGCATGTAACTCGATTAGGCCTAACTTTCCTACCATGGAATCTTGGAACCTGAAATTGATTTCCACAAAGTTATATGATTTGTGGTAATAGTTTACAAGCTCCACAACGATGCTTTGATGCTCAGTTTCATGGACAGCATAGTTTGTTACTCAGCCATGTTATGTCGCCGATCGTATGAGTAGGAATAGATGGGCCCAACACAAAGATGGATGTACTGGGTGAACCAGAATTAACTGACCCTTTTAATTTGGTAATAAATAAAAAACTAAGAACGTAATGAAGTTGAAACTTGTTTTATTTAAAAGAAGAAGATTTTTATGATAATATTGTATCCTAGTTTTTAGGATACAATAACTAACTAGGATACAATATTACATACAATATTTTAACTAATACATATTAATACATAATGAATATTTTAACTAATACAATAATAAAATATTGTAATAGGATGCAATATTTTAACTAGGATGCAATATTACCATAAAAATGTTCTTCTTTTAAATAAAACAAGTTTCAACTTCATAACGTTGTTAGTTTTTTATTTATTAACAAATTAAAAGGGTCAGTTAATTCTGGTTCACCCTGTATATTTTTGAATAGATATTAATTGAGAGTTTTATGACGTTGATTTTGTAGCACTATTTTTGAATATAGTGTCTGTTATCCTTACAACGAATTAATTTTGGAAAATTGTGCGTTTCGACATGTGCAAGTTTACTAAATTACTCTACAGTACATACAGTACGTGTGCCAGTATTATATATATAATAATAATAATATGATCGAAATGGCTTTTATGCTAGCATTCCATGAATTCAATACAGTATTTTTAAAAGCTATGTCATCGATGCAAGTTATTTCCAGCCCTGTTGGTTCAGGTGTGGATGTTGCTGCTGTTCCACGCGACAGCAGGCGCGTGCACCGGCCTCACGCTGGTCCTCGCCCAGGTCTACGTGGCTGAGGTCTCCACGCCCGGTGTCAGGGGCGGCATATCGTGCGCTTCGCTACTCGCCTTCCAGGTGACGTTAAAACCGAGTTGGAATGGAATAGAATTGAATAGAATAGAAGTGTCGGCACTGAAGAAATAAAATATTATCTTATATTATTAAATATTATTATCTTTCAGTCGCCATTGAAGAACGTCAAGTTACTCCTTCACTAAGTTTCTTTTCATCACGGAGATGTCTGTTATCTTCTAAAGTCGTACTTCATCTTTGAAGTGCCTGACATAGAATAGAATAGAAGTGTCGGTACTGAAGAAATAGGCCCATGGCCTGTTGCCGATTCTTGAACTTTTCGTGACGTGATTCACAAGGGATCCGGCCTGTGGAACCCGATCTTTCCATAATTGACGATTGATTGAGATAGCTGCTGGGCTTATTGCCTGGTCCGTAAGGTGCTAGGCATTTTAAGACTGAACATATGCAGTTGGAGTTCTTAACTGCACTAGCGACTAAGTCATAAGGAAGACTTGCACACAATTGCTGGCATTTGAACTTGTGAACTTAGTTTAATTAACTTGAACTAAATGCGCTTGCTGAAAGCGAAGCCTTGGATCAAGTGTTAGCAGCATCTGCTAATTACTATATAAGGATCGAGATAATTCTGAATGCGAGTGAGCTTTGCGGAGATGCACAGTACAATTTGTGTGTAGGTGATGATGCATACAAATGGCTGCATACAAATGTACGGAGCCATTTAGAGGTGATGATGGCTGTATACATTTGTATGCAGCTATTTAGTGGTGATGATGGCTGCACACATATGTACGGAGCCATTTAGAGGTGATGATGGCTGCTTACATTTAGATGCAGCCATTTAGAGGTGATGATGGCTGTATACAAATGTACGGAGTCATTTAGAGGTGATGATGGCTGTATACATTTGTATGCAGACATTTAGAGGGGATGATGGCTGCATACATTTTGTATGCAGCCGTTTAGAGGTGATGATGGCTGCATACATTTGTTAGCTTCCAGCTTAATTATCAGAAATAATTACGCCCACACGCAATTAGCACCTAATAATTATGTGAAAATAATTAACGCTAATTTCACACCAATCCGAGTATAGGATCTATTTGGTACTTGCAATTAATTTAGGAACTTTCGAAAACTAGGTCTCGGGTCTACAATATTCCTTAAAAATTCCAAGTACATTCAACAAACGATCGAAAAATCTCTTGCGTTTGCTCTGATTAAATTCAGGTCTGTTTATATTTTATTCAAACAATGGATTTTACTATTTATTTCTTTCATAAAACCTGCGAATTTCTTAGGTACTAAGCCGACTTTTTGATTTCGCATACAATACCTGAAATCATGCGTATTAATTAATCAGTTCTAGCAGCCTTGCTGTTGACATGAGGATCGTCAGAGAATGGAAGCAAATTGTCTTATTTTTTTATTGGTTTGCAGGTTGGCTCTTTACTCTGCTACTCCCTTGGTAACGTGATGGTATGGCGGCATTTAGCCGCCGTTGGTATGGGCATCACTTTACCCTTCTTCGTGGCCGTGGTGCTCTGCATGCCCGAGTCCCCTCGTTTTCTGGTCCACGTGCGACCTAATGACGCCCTCGCAACCCTCCAATGGCTGCGAGGGTTCGAGGGCGACGTTATGGACGAATACCGAGACATTGCCGACAGTTCCGAGACCGATCGTTGGAGCATCGACTTGGATGACCTGTCCAGACCTACGTTTTGGCGACCTTTGCTCCTGTCGTGTGGACTTATGTTTTTTTACAGCATGACTGGAGTTGCGAGCTTTGGAACGTATGCGACCGAATTGTTCGCAGATGTTTCTTATTATCCCATCAACGTCGCCCACTACATCAACACAACAATAATCATCGTTGGGATTGTCATTGCTTCCATATTGGTTGATCAGATTGGTAGGAAACTTGTCTTGCTCCTCTCAATTACAATTATGGCAGCGTCTGCATTTACAATTGGCCTCTTTATGTTCTTGAAAGATTATAACAGAGTTGAGAGCTACTTTGAATACCAATGGGCCGCTGAAGTGTTCTGCGTTGTACTTTTCACCTTCGCACACGGCGTAGGAATGGCGCCCATCTCCTGGATCACCATGGGCGAAGTTTTCGGACCGCGACACAAATGGATCGGAGTTACATTTTCCTCGATGGTGTTTTGGGCATCCATGATCGGTGTGGATGTTATCTTCCAGCACCTGCGACATGCTGTGCTCACGGGAGGAATCTTTTGGTTCCACTGCGTGATGTGCGTGACGGGTTACATCTTCGTCCTTCTTTGCTTCAGGGAACTCAAGGAGCAAAGAATCGATGACATCACCAAGTCGTTCACTAAGAAGCACGACAGCTTAATGGATACCTTCATCGCACGGCCTTGAGCAAATATAAAGCGGTATTTATTTTTAGCAGATGAACTAATGTAAATATGTATACTTCTACCCTTAATGTAAACCCCCCAAAAATTGTATGGTTCTTAGCACTTCTAAATGGCGTAGGGTAATCGTTTCATCATTATTTCACTTAGAAGCCGAGGACGTTTGTTAATTGTCAAAAGTATTAGTACAAACCGAAATCCTCAAGAAATTGTTCATTATGGTCATCTATTTTGCCTTCAGTTTGTGTTTGATTTTAATGTTATTATTTATACTAATTTATCAGGAGTATTATTACTGTAAGTTTAAATAGTCTCTCGTATAACGTCAAGTCAAACGATTTGTTTGCGATGGAGAAAATTAATTTATGTTTTCATGCGGAAAATTTTAAAGCCACTGATATTTTTTACTTAACTTGCGACTCTTGAGACGTAAAGTAAATTTCCAGGAGATTAAGAGTACGTCAACAACAATTAATTATCAATATCATCAGCTCAGCTCTTCAATTTGTCGCGTACCTACCGCTGGCGTTTTCAGATCGATCATTGAGGTTATCTTCTCCGTGGAGCACAAATTGAAAATCAATTGTCTTCGTTTACTTAATCAATTGGTCATCTGTTTTTATTTTTATTTTAGGACCGATTAAATTTATTGTTTTCTAATTTGTATTTTTAGTCTATTAGCGTAAGGTTAAACCAAAGACCCATTGTTGTTATTTGTTGACTCATTAAATGCCTTTAATTATTTTATTTCGGTTATTTTATTCCAATGGACAATAATAAGAAACCTATAAGATCTTTCAATAAACTTACCACCCCCACTACTGGTTGCTTTACCAAAGCCTGGCAAACCTAACTTCACCTAATGGGCCAGCGTCCAACGTCCTTGCTCCGTAACAACATTGCTCGGTAATGATGTTCGAATTGAGACTACAACAGTAACCTTGTTACTGGTGCTCCATTGCTGTAGTATCGCTGTGCTAATACCACAGAACCGAGGGTAAAGCTAAATTTCCTCTGCCGCTTCAAATAAGTTTTGCCCATTGTTTGTAGCGGGCTTGTCGGTCTGAGTAGTCAGGCAGAGCAAGGGTCAGAGTAATCTTTCAATATAATCTTGTGAGAGTTTTTAGCGCATTTTCTCATTTATGGAAAAAATGCTTTGTGCTCGCCATGTCCGTCCGTTTGTCTGTCCGTCCGTGACTTCACGTTTTCGTCGACGAGAAAATGCGCTCTCTGTCACTCACTTTAGTGAGTACTGAGTTATATATTTTTATATTTTCGCCGTATAGGAGGATTCAAAGGAGCCCGAACTTCTGCAAAGGTGTCGATGAAATTTTCAAAACGAAGTTTTGAAAACCTTCTCGTACTCAGGGTGTTGCTTTCTCCCAATTTTCAACTCGGTCAGAAAGTACGGCGATAGGGGCCGTTTTTATGGTCTGTAATTAGCAGTGACGGAGCATTGTTCACAAATTTAGTGAACAAACGACGATGAAACTTTACACGCAACAGTTTTGAACCGTCCGTTAGTGTTGCGATATTTTCCACATTGAACTTTATTCGTTAATGAAAGTCTTCATAATGAAGGTTTTTACTGAGAAAGAACCTAGTGATGTGATGATTTATTATTTTTTGGATCCTTTCAAGGTTGCGCCTTTTTCTATGACAAACCATTCGTAATTCATCAATCTATAGCTACTATAAGGGATTAATTCATCTTGTTTCATCACCCCGAACTTCGTGCATTACATGTTTTTCGAGATATGAGCGTTGAACCTCTGAGAAGTGACGCGTTCATAGCAGTTTTAAGTACTAGGAGAGTGTCAAGTGTTGATTTGAGGTGCGGAGCGCTAATTAATACTGAATAAGTGACTGATTCTCCTTATTTCATCCCATGGTACTTTGTACGTTACATATTTTTCGAAATATACGCGTTGAACATTCGAATTCTGACGCAATCGGATTCAGGATTGCGGATATACTATCGTTGAACACGTAGAAGCCATTAATGTGTAGATCTTATTCAAACGCTGCATATCAAGTGACAGAGTTACTATAATATGAAATTTTGTAGTTTTTATAACAGTGGGATATTGTTGATATTCTTTTACACCCTAAACTCTCAAAATTACGGAATAACCTGATTCTGGGCAGCATTCGATGGACATTTTATTGGACACGTGTTCTGCTGCACTTCAGCGCCTGCAGCATTTACGTGCATGTGCCCCGGAATGTTCGAGTGGCCACGGTTGTTCAAAGTTTTCATTTGTTGGTGATTAGAGCTGTTAATTTTCTAAATATTTAGCGTAATGACATGATTCAGAGTTTTTCAAAATACTGTTGTTAACCGTAATTATTCTAAAAAGCTTTTCATTATTCCAAAATCAGTTTCTAAATGACCACTATGCACGCAATCCAGCGCATTAATTTTCTTTATTAGGTATGGCGTGGTTTTGTTAAACTATTTCATGCTTTGTTTTTTCAATTATAGCTAAAGATAGGGTTCAGTAATGAGCTGTACACCGACCGGCCGTTCTGCCTAGAAAAATTGCAGAATCGCCAATGGTTTTAGTTTATTCTGTCTATAATTAACTTATACAGTTTTACTTCCACACGGCAATTTTCAAGTTGTGAAGGTGACTTTTTTTTAAAATTAGTTGCGTAGCGCTTGTCTGAAACCCGCTATTTTCCTCGTTATATCTACGATCTCATTGTTTTATTCGCAGCAAAATGCCGTCGATGTGTTGAAATTTGCTCATAGAATCTGTGACTAAAAAAAAAAGCGGTCTCTCCTGATTATTATCTTAAGTTTTTCCTGCCAGTTAAACAGAAAACGTTAGATCGTTGGCAAACTATATCAAAATTCTATTTCTGACTATTGTCTTCAAAATTAGCAGGAAGCACAGAAGCAACAAAAAATTTTCTAGTTAATATAAGAAATATTATTGGATGCTTAGTTCAGTTCGAGACGCTCTCAAGTCACACGATATTTTCGTGCGGTGGTGCGGGGACCGCTAAGCTGAGTGCCGACTGCGGGATTACAGTTTCCGGGCTTCGTTAGCTTATAAGTCTGAAGATTATTGATAATTTTACGTCGATGGCAGCATTTACTTAACGCAGCGTATAATAAAATATTGGGACGAACTCCAGCAGAATATTTTGTTGAATTATTGTGTTGTTATGTAGTCACTCGTTTTAAATATACTCTTTCAGTCGCCATTCAAGAGCGACAAGTCCTGCACTAACTAAGTTACTTTTCATCACGGGGATTTCTCTTACGTTTGAAAGTCGCATTTCATCTTTGAAGTGCTTGACATGTCATCAGCTAATGGCGTAACTCCTTATAATGATTGAAAACTTTCTTTTGTAGAAACTTTGTAGACAATAAAACGTTTATCTTTCTGATAAATCTTGAATTCCAAAGGTTTACTATTTTAGATCTACGAATAAAATGCTTTAGTTGATACTTGCTTTGGTTGATAAGAGGCAGAAGTTATTTTTCAATTGATAGGGCTTTTATAAAAAAAACTAAAACTGCTGTATCACTTTTTCTACGACGATGTGAATGATCTTACTGTATTAACCTACGGTATTTTTAATACCAGATTGAGTTTTCGAATTTTTAAATTTAATGATTTCACAGTGTAAAAAGGCTGCCGTGAAATGAAAATACTGCTTAATAAAAATAATGTGAGAATAGACAATGTTGAGCTTACGTCACTGACAATTTTAATTATTCACGTGTTGAGCTTGACACTAGAGCGCAAAGCCAAATGCCCATTAAGCGGTTACTTCTTGTAACTACTAATCAATAATTCGGTCAATGTATGTTCAGTAAACCTCAGGTTCGAGTCAGATGAGATCTTAATAATTTCGTTCTCATGCTTGCAATAATCAGAAATGGAATGCAAATAGAAATCCTGGAATGAAAAAACGGAAAAGGCTTTTTTCCGGATTCAATTATTCAACATATCTTGAATTAACTGGACTTGAAGCGTAGGTTCAAATCATTACGTTACGTGTTATGTACTGCATTGGAAGCACTGTCGCATACGCGCATTTAATTCGTATTTTCCGCATTGACTTCCGTGACCGAGCTAAAAGTATCGGCCATGACCGCAGTTTCTGTCATTCTACAAAGTTCTTCAACGAATAAGGAATGCTGTTAGGCTACATACACGGCACATCCTTCCTAAGAGTGCCTCCTGCATTCTGCTTACTACGTCTCCGACACAGCTGTGTTATTGGCTTATTGCCTACTGCATAAATTATCTCCATTGTGAATCCAAAAAATTAAGAATGGGGATGAAATGTAAAAATTTTCCCGCTTGTTTCTCTCCCCTTTATATTCAAACCTTTACGAGTGTGGGGCAACGGGTGATTCTTAATAAAACAATCTAATTTAATGGGACTATTTTCTCGGGCTTTAGACGACAGATCTCATGTGCTCTAAGCGACCAATATGATTCATAAATTTTTCCTAATAACGAGTGATCTAGCCTTTCACACTATATGGAACTGCTGCTTCTCTGTGGCAGTTCTATTTTCTAGCCTCTGCTCAACTGCTGCTTCTTTTTTTCATTTGCTCTGAAAGGCCAAAGAGCCACTGATGAGAGGGGTTCACTATATATGAGACCCTCACTCTCACTATAGCTTTCGATGAAGTGAAACCAAAACTGCCTCGGGCGCCTACATGCAGCAATTAATTGAATGGCTTTCATTGAGATCTTTTACTAGGTTGTGCTCTGTGAAGAAAGCCAAACTCTTGTCCTGCTGCGATGATGTTCTGTGAACGTTCGTAACTTTGTTTTCAGTGAACTCATTAACATTCTGTGTGCATTTTTCGACCTTTTTGCGTCACCGTTTGAAAATCTTCCCTAACAATTTGTTAATTGTCTTCTTACTGGAATTTGATATTCGTTAAAAGCAGCGAATCAGGAAATGCAAGGTTTTACTTTCAGAAATCAATCGGTAAAAAATCATTCAACATGGCACAGATGCCGGACTACCTTCTTGTTGGTTCATGTTTATTTGTCCTTTCAATATTTGAGTCGATCTTCTTCAGACAAATTCAGTAAAATGTTATAGAAAATTACCGAGCTACGCTAGGTTGTCATGCTTGTTTAGCTGAATTTCGAATTGACTGAATATATTTGTATCGTGCAGAAATAAAATTTTCTTGAGCATATTGAGTAATATTACGACTGCAGATTATTATGCATATTATATGAATTAGGAGAAATAAATATTAGGACCAATACCCATATTAAGTCCGGTAATACTGGTATTTATCTTCGTCCGTTTTTGTCGGACCACTAATAAGAGGAGCCATAAAAATTCTGACTGGTGCCCTAAAGAGGAACCTGGGGAAAATATTTAGAGGCCTTTGGTCTGTCGGTGAGAGGGCAATTTGTCCGTAAAGCAGGCACGCAGTTGCGCTTTTTTGAGGACTTTGTACAAAGACCGACTAGCTTTGTGTGGGCGAGTCTGTGCATGTAAGTGACTGATGGTGGGGAAATATATGTGTGCGAGTTTCTCTGTGTATGTGTGTGCATGTGCATTGTTTTCATATTAGTGGGTGTGATCGTGTATTGGAGCATAAATGCACGATATATCATTTTTTCCTATATTTAGACATACGTATTTGAGCAAAAATTTACTTCACTACTTTTTGAGGAACAGGCCTTATCTGCAGGATGAATTGGGATGCAATTCCATGATAATCATTGTTAGGATTGAGTTTCGTTTAAGTGCTTGTAAGAAGCACCTGCAAACAATTCGGATTAAAAGTTATTACAACACTTCCCACTTCACTTCTTGTTTGTTTGTCTGTCTGTACGTCTGTCTGCTGCTACAATTCTTATAATCAAAATTTAACACACTTCTACTTATCCTATCGATCTGAAATTTTGCGCCCTTGCGTAAAGTTGGAGACAATACAAGAATCAAATAACAAAATAAAAGATTTTTAAAATTAAAAAAAATTTTCAATATTAAAAAAAATTGAAAAAATAATTTTGTCAGCTACAAATCTTATAACTGATATTTGACACACTTCTACCCGTCCAATTGACCTGAAATTTTGCACACTCGTGTGAAGTTGGAGGCAATGCATGAATCAATTGACAGAATAAATAATTTTGAAAAAAATTTTATATATTAAAATAAATTGAAAAATTATTTTTTTTAGTATTCGAAAATAAAGTTAGAAATGCATTGTACATCTGTAACATTGGAAACACTGGATTCTTTAGAAGTGTTGGCTTTAAAAAGTAATTTCTAAACGTATATTATTTTATGTTCTAAGTACGTGTGTTTCTTCTTCTGGAACTGATAGGTCAAGTCATTAACTGACCCTAACAATCGTGCCAAAGATTTGAGACCAGCTGGTGACTAAAATTTTAGAACTACGCAAGTTATTATACAGGGTGAACCAGAATTAAGTAACACTTTTAATTTGTTAATAAATAAAAAACTAAGAACGTTATGAAGTTGAAACTTGTTTTATTTAAAAGAAGAACATTTTTATGGTAATATTGTATCATAGTTACGTCATTATCCTGTATATTTAAATAAAACAAGTTTCAACTTCATAACGTTCTTAGTTTTTTATTTATTAACAAATTAAAAGGGTTACTTAATTCTGGTTCACCCTGTACAACCATGACCTCATCACCTGTTAAGTGCTGAACAAAGAAGAAATAATCGCTAATGTAACTGCGTCAATGAATTCCGTTAGATTAGTCTCTAAGTCGCGATTCTTCTCAAAACTGGTATAAAATAGCCGAACACACATGAAGCAATTTCAATTACAACGATGAAAGTGATGAAAGATGAAAGTTATGAATAGATGAAAGTGAGTAAATACTGTATATACTCCAATATTTATTATGTAATAAATATAAATTTAAATAAATATATACTGATGAATATTAAATGCTGGTTTTATTCGGTTAAAAAAGAACGGGGAAGCCAGCTGCGATCCAGAAATATTGGAATCATATTTTCAGCACTTTTCGTGCAACGCCTAATCTGATTCAAGGCATCTTACGATCCTATATACAGGGTGCGCCACAGAAACTTACTTATTTGAAAGGTCAATAAAAACAAAAGTACTTCAGTTATTGTTTTAAATTTTTTTTATGCAAGAAAACAGTATCTCAAATTTTTTTTCATACAGTTTTGAAAATTAAATTTCATAAATGACGGCCTCCATTGCGCATAAACTAATGAAGTCGCTTTTTTCATAATGGTTTCCACTCTATGCAGCATATCAATTACGCAGCCGGAAATGTGGAAGTGAGCCTCGCCACTGAAAAAAACGACCGCGTCTTCAGGCAGGTTGTCAACCAGCATTTTACATGCATTTTGACGAGCAACAAAATCGCGTTCAGTTAATTCTTGCACTACAGTAAATTTATTTGAGAAACTTTGAGAAACAAACTTGGGAACTTTCCCCTTCAGATGCACCCCCTCTCGCTCCTCTACCCGACCAACTAACCGCACAGGAATTTTTTCAAATAAGTAAGTTTCTGTGGCGCACCCTGTAAAAGTGTGTTTCAGTTTTAACTGCCTTTGTCAGACTTGAAACCAAATAAAGATATGGCAAATTTCAGGCTGTTTTTCTAGCTTCTATTGAATAACAAAATCTAATAAAAGCCTCTTTGCGGGAGACGTAAAAATATGGCAGAAGATTTATGGCTTGATCTAATTTATGCATAAAATTGAATGGTTTGATCTGTCATACATGGTATAAAGTTCCCTCAACATTCAATTACCGATAATTCGTAATGAGCTAGCTTTTTCTTTTTAATTTATTTCGTAATTTTTTACTTTTTTTTATGGTGTAACGGCCTACGTCGAATCGCTGCTGATGTTTCTCAACATTCTCAATTAGAAATCTATTCTTGTAGGAATATGATAGAAATGTATTTGGTCTGCAATCCATTGAATAATATTACAAATCTCTATATAACCGAGACTATATTTTCACTGTGATCACTGTGATTACTATACGTAAGCAATACTTTTGAATTTCAATATTCTCTTTGATCTTTTTTCTCGCTAATAAAATCTCGAACTACACTGTGAGATATTGATATTCTTGCGGTGAATTAATATCCGTTATCTCTCCCTCAGGGAAGATGGTTCGCATTCCCACATCCGGCAGACGAGAAGGTAAGTCCATTTTTAATTTTTGATTCCTTGGACTCGCTTTCATGCGTCGCTCAAAAATGCAGCGATGCTGACATGATGAGTCTGCGAGTTTGGTGTTATGGAATCTTATGTATTTGGGATGCAGATTTAGGTCCTTTTTTAGATTACATACTAGATAAGTACTGAGTATAAAATACTGCCTCTATTCGGTTAAGTCAGTTACTAGAATTATTGCAACTCATTGCAATAAGATGCTCATATAATGTGACTGCGCCACGATAAAACCTGTATAATGTAATCCGGTCATACATAAATATGATATCAACGTTGATTCAATTTTCAAAACCAGCTTCGTATCAACGTTGAATCTACGTTGAAATGTAACGTCAAGATAACGTTGCATTAATGACGTTGCTTCAATTTTCATTCTGTACCATGCAGAATTCAACATATTGTTACAACGGCGTGAACGGAGGTTGTTTCAGCGTAGATTCAACTAGGAAATTCCTGCTGGGTCTCTTGTGATGGTCATGACAGTATTCGTTACAAACTGTCTACTTTGAGATAACGAGCCGATCTAGGGACGGTTTATTAATTGGAGACGGTTTGTTAATTATGGACGGTTTATTAATAAGGTGGGATTTATCAGTAAGGGACGGTTTATTAATTATAAACGGTTTGTTAATTAGGGACGGTTTATTAATAAGATACGGTTTGTTAATTAGGGAGGGTTTATTAATTATGGACGGTTTATTGATTAGTGACATTTTATTAATTAAGGACGGTTTATTAATTAGGGACGGTTTATTGATTAGGTACGGTTTGTTAATTAAGGACGGTTTATTAATTAGGGACGGTTTATTAATTAGGTGACGTTTTATTACTTAGGGACGGTTTATTAATTAGGGACGGTTTATTGACTAAGGACGGTTTATTGATTAGGGACGGTTTATTTTTTAGGGACGGTTTATTGATTAGGGACGGTTTATTGACTAAGGACGGTTTATTGATTAGGGACGGTTTATTGATTAGGGAAGGTTTATTAATTAAGGATGGTTTATTAATTAGGAACGGTTTATTGATTAGGGACGGTTTATTAATTAGGCGACGTTTATTACTTAGGGATGGTTTATTAATTAGGGACGGTTTATTTTTTAGGGACGGTTTATTGATTAGAGACGGTTTGTAAATTATAGGGACGGTTTATTGATTAGGGACGGTTTATTTTTTAGGGACGGTTTATTGATTAGGGACGGTTTGTAAATTATAGGGACGGTTTATTGATTAGGGACGGTGTATTAATTAGGGCCGGTTTATCAATTAAGGTTGGTTTATTAATTAGGGACCGTTTATTAATCAGGGACGCTTTATTAATTAGGGACGCTTTATTAATTACTTAAAGGGACCATTTAGGTCAAAATCTATTTTCTATATTTATGGAAGGATCATCTCCAAACTTGGTACACATATGTAAAATCAAAAATGACGACTATTTTGTTCATGTGAATTTTTCAAAAAAATGAGAGAAAACGTGAAATTCATAGAAAACGGCCAAAAAGGGGGTACTCTAAAAAAAGTTAATAACTGTTGCAAACAAATGCTACAACATCGAGACACGTATCATTCGATGCGTAAAAACCATATCTAGCGATTCTCGGGCCACTTTTCCAATTTTTTTCTTGGTTCTTTTGTTATGATGATTTTTGTGAAAAATTTCGAATTTTTTTTTATTTTCCCCCCTTTTTTCAAAATATTTCTAAAACTAAAACAAAATTGGAAAAAATGTCACGAGAATCGCTAGATATTTTAATTGCGAATCGAATGGTATATGTCTCATCGCTGTAGTTCAAAACTCTATGAGTTATTAACTTTGCCGTGACAAAAAGTGTAAATGTTCAGAATAGCCCGACAAAGTGCCGCGCGCATCCGAATAGCCACTCAATGTAGCAAGGATACGAAATTAAACGGTACTGGAGCTTGTACCAGTCAAGGATGGTGGGAGCAACTACATGTAGTACATCTCCCTGTTCAACAACAGGAGGGTGACTAAGCTTCACTCCAAATAGGGACTCTATTTATAGGCTGGGCAGCGAATTTCCTGCAGTCTTTTTACTTAAAGACCCCGCCCACCTCCTTCCCTTGCGGAATCTCTAGTAACCGTATAAATCAATGTACAAAGATGGTAATGGTACCGTTGGATAGCTCAGAATGTCAGCTTTAAGATGAGACTATAAACCGGAAAAGCCAAAACTGTCGATTTTGGACCTACATTATTAATAATAAGCAACGGTTTATCAATTTGAAACGTTTATCAGCTAATCGGCAGCTATAAACAACCTGTTATATTGAACGGAGTTTCGACTGTTTTTATATGCCTTCTGTTCAAACTTCGATTTCTGGTCGCCATAGCAACAGCGGATCGTGCATCTCATTCGGCAGAAATTTCCCGTTGCCATCCGGTATTGGCTATGCTCAAAGAATAGCCAAAGATTAATATTATCCTTCTTTAGAGAGTTCCTTGAGACGTCAGCAACAATTCAGCGAGTTTCAAATCAGAGAGCTTTGTCGGTTTTAAAGCAGTTTATTTGACTGAATAATTTTTACTCATTTTATCGTGATTTGGCTATGAATAATAATGGACGATTAAAAATATACTTAAAATTAGTGCGTGTAAAAACGATACACTCGTGCAGCAGCTTCGATTCCCCGTTGATTGTACATAATGATTTTAATGTTCACTTCAAATATTTTAATTTTAAATATGAATTTTAAAATTTTGATAAAATGAATCGAATACTCAATGTTTTACAATAATATTAATGCTCTGTATGAACGATGATATTACAATCTATTCTGTATTGCATGTTGAGCTTTATGGTTGAAAGCTCAAGTATCAGCCTGAGGTTCGTGTTCTAATACAGAAGCTAAATTAAATGCAAATAAAATCATTAATCAGCGAACAAATGTGTTTATCATTATACGCGAATTTTTACCTGCATATCAGCGGGAATTTTAAAAAGCCTTGCAAGAGCAATCACGAATTACATGAATTTAATGCAATAATATCAATGGCATGCAATAGCATTGCAGTAACATGTGCAAAGATGATCGCAACTGAAGTGGTAACAATTTTATCGGATTTAACCTTGGTGTTTTTTTTAACCAAGACGTGTTTTTATGCCACGTCTTGTGCCTAATTGATTTCTTGCGCCGCTCAAAGACTGTAGCGGAAATGACTTGGAACTGGCGATGCTCTATTTCAAAGGAACTGATCTCAAAAAGTCTGCCGCAAAATACCCATTTTTAACCGTGGTGATTGATGAATTGCAGTCATGGCTCCTGATTGGACTTTTTTAATCCTTATAAGGATTTAAAAAATGTAGCCGCTGGGCTTTGAACACTTGACTTTTGAGTCATGTTATTCATGCAATCGATTATTTATAGTTTAAAATCTTAACAACTTGCAAAACATTTCGATAAATTCATTTATTTCTAACTTCTCTTCGCCTTATCTCTCTGAAACTGAAATTCTAAAATGGAGCATTTCGGAGAATATTGTCGTGCTAGTCTACGTAAAATGGAGCATTTTGGAGAATATTGTCGTGCTAGTCTACGCAAAATGGAGGTTTTTGGAGAATATTGTCATGCTAGTCAACGCAAAATGGAGCATTATGACGCTGTGTTATATATGGATCAGTTTTGAAAGCAAAGCTCTGTAGCATCTGATTATTAGTATTACATATATTATATGTTCGCATATTAGTATATAGGTTTCGTTGAAGACCAGAGAGTATTTCTTATTGACAATTTTCTTATTATTTTTCTCGATTCGGCGAATTAGGCTCTTGATAGGAAGTGTAATGTCCCTTGGAAACCTGATATTTGGATTTTCACTTCCTATCAAGAGCCTAATTCGCCGAATCGAGAAAAATAATAAGAAAATTGTCAATAAGAAATACTCTCTGGTCTTCAACGAAACCTGCATTAAAGAACAGCTTCTGCCAAACTACACTAATATTAGTATATGCGAACCAACCGAAAATTAGAGAAGTATTTGAGTCGCGTCAGTGTAGCTGTCTACCGCTTATTTTTGGGAAGTTGATTCTTACAGAATTATTTATGGAGACCATTTATAGACAGTATTAAGATCATTTGATTTTATAGATCTCACATTGATTACAAATTCAATGTAATAAGTGCTGAGTTTATTAATTATATATTAAAATAATGAGACTTTCAACAATATGCGTAAAGTTTAAAGTTATATCCAGAAAGAATTTCATAGACGACTGTATATAAAATTTGTTTACTTGAATTTCACATAAATTAAGAATTAGAAATCAAAGTGAGTGCTAAGTAAATTGGACATAATTTCGGCGAAAACGTTTCTGAGAGCAGTTCCATTATCGGTTCAAAAGCTGGTGAAGTTTTTCTACTGGTCAAGAGCTGGGTTTAAAACTGATGATGCAGCGGATTTCCGAAAGGCTGTCAAAAAAATATGAAAAATTTACGTGCCATTTTCTTCGCTTTAAAATTCATGGTCCAAAAATGAAATGCTAAATGAATAATTTGACTTATATATGAATAATTCGTAAATAAAATTTTATTCAGGTATTATTAATTTTTAAACTACATGTGATCCTAATCGAGTATACACATTTATCTGCTCGGCGGGATTTAAATCTGTATGAAATCACGCCACTTTCAAGCTAGTCTTGCAGAGCATCAGATCTTATACCGACCATATACCTGCTTGCCAAACTCATTCAATTATTAGCATTCACGCCGGATTATGCGATTTTACATTTGCTCAAAAAAACTTCAAAATTTACAATTCAACTTAAGATGCTTCCGACTTGAAAATTTTGAAAACCCCGAGTAAAAAGCACAAGGTTTCTTTCTGCCTAAAATTTCCAAATATTTTTGTCCTCTTTAATGCCTTCTTAAATTTTCGGTATTTGTTCTATTTGCGTCATTTCGTTAGTTCTCTTAGCCATTAAATTTGTAATTGGTCGCTGTTACCCT